ATAACAGTGTAAATACTGTATGTGCCCATTTTCAGTTCCAGTCAAGCACAAACCCCAAATGATGACTTTATTTCAGGCCATTGCTGTTTTGAGGCAGAATCAGACCATAGTCCAAACACGGTTTCCCAACCAGTGTCACCATAGCGGGTCCAGTGTAAACTTGGTACCTGTAGAAACCTTCCATGGGTCTGTGACAGCACCTAAATTTAAAGAGCATTATTTTATCCTTTAAAATTCACACACAAAAAAGAGAGAAAGTAACAAAAGACACTTGCTTACATACTTTATTTGTTTATTTGGGATCACATAAGGTACACAGACCTCTGCCCACTCTACTGCTTGAGGAAGGAGGTGACTGTGGCTCCTGCCTTTAGCCCTGTCAGTGCTGAAACCCCCCAAACAACTTGGTACTTAGCCAAGGGTTAGCACGTTTTTTAATCCTAAAACTAAGGAAAACAAACTTTGCCAGCATGTTAAAAATGAAACTCATGTATTTCCATGTTAACAGCTTAGAGTTTTACAGGAAAGATTGTCTTACAGCCCTGTCCTTGTCCCCCCATCCCAATACTGTTAATACTTATTTTTGTATATATAGTTTCTCTTCTTTGTTCATTATCAAAGGAAGTCTTTGGTCTATGCAGCTCTTCAGCTGCATAGTAGTCAGTGCCTGATGTTTTTCAAACAAATATACACTGTTTCCTCATCTAGAGGAATAGAACATTCATATAGAATATTCATTCTTATAGAAAATTCATACTCAGCCAGAATATGAGCTTTATCATCTTTGGTTGTTACAAGTAAAACATGAATCCTTGAAATGCTGTTTCCTATAAAAGTACATGTTTCTCAGTGACTGAAAGCATTACTGATATGAATGTCTGAAAAATGAGCCTGAAACCATTGGAACATGAGCTGTTTCTCTTGTACAACCTGTGCAGATGCAGTCTTTGTGGAAAGAAAATTGGTTTGCACTCTTACAAAATGTTTAAACTACTCACATGTCGCTTTTCTTCCTACTTGGTCACAGGACGGACAGAACCCTGGACCTCCTCCGCTGATACCAGGCCTGGGGCAGCAGGGAGGACAAGGTCGTCTTGGTCCTCACAACCAAGGACCTGGTCTTAATAAAGGTAATTAAATGTATTGTCTGTTCTCCTGTGAGTCAACCTCCTAAAAGAGGGGCTGTCCCCGAGAGAAATGGCTGAGAGCGTCCATAGATGCAGGCTGGAATATAGAGGAAAAGTTTTCCCAGAAGTATTGGTTAGTGTGAAATGTATCCTGTGCTTTGTAGAACTGTATGAACTAGAGCATCCTTGAGCATTTTAGAGATGGTTACAGAAACCTGCTGTGATGGTTTTTTTTCCCTGCAGGTGACACCCGTGGTCCCCCAAACCATCACCTGGGCCCGCTGTCCGACAGACGGCACGACCAGAACAGCGGTGGCCCCGAGCACGGGCCCGAGAGGGGCTTGTTCCGAGGTGGCCAGGAGTGGGGGGATGGCAGAGACAGCAGGGGCTTGCCAGACAGACGAGGACCTCACCCCGATTTCCATGATGACTTTGATCGACCAGATGACTTCCGTGAAGATTTCCATCCGGATAAGAGATTTGGCCACCGCCTGCGGGAGTTTGAGGGGAGAGGAGGCCCACCATTGCAAGATGAGAAGTGGAGACGAGGTGGACCTGGGCCTCCCTTTCCTCCAGATCACAGGGAATTTGAAGGAGGCAGTTCAAACCGCGGACCTCCTGGTGCTTGGGAAGGACGGAGACCTTCAGATGATAGATATCCACGGGATCCTGAGGATGCACGCTTCCGAGGAAGGCGAGATGAGAGGTAAGAATAAACCTACTTCTCTTTCTTGGGTTAAAGGGTAAATGGAGGGAACTCTTCTTTCCTGGTTTCCTTTTCATTAAGGAGTCTATCTGTTTCAGATTTATAAACTGGAAACCAATAAGGAAATGAAAACTCTAATATACCTGAGTGTAGAGTCCATAAAAATCATTCAGTAATAGAAGAAAACTTGAAAAATGGTCATTGTACACAGCAGCTTCCGTGTCTTTAAACAGTAAGTAAAGAGAAGGGAGAAAGTTTGTAGAGAAGATCCAGTGACACAGGATGAAGATTTGAGACCGTTTTGATGAAAATTGAGAGGAGACATGAAGGTTAAAGTGACAAACTTTTGAACATTAGACATGGATTTTGAGACTCTGTCTCCAGTCACAAACTACAGCATGAGACTGTAGGATGAGATGTAGAGACTGTAGGATGAGATGCAATGTCCTTGTAAGGAGCAGGAACAGTGATCCTACTGTCGGATAGAAGGGACAGAGCTACAGCACCTGTTGGACTGTCGAGACTATTTTCTTATATGTTTGCTTGTAGAAATTTTATTTCTCTTTCTGACTTATTTCTTAATACCAAGCAAAGAACTCAGAAATAATCTGATTTAAAGCAATGTTCATGTCATTGCTCCCAATCTCCAAATAAATCACAAAGGGATGAATTTGCTTCTAGTTACCAGTTTAAATATGGAGGAATTACAATGTCTTCAAGATTAACTGTCAGCAAAATTGCTCCAGGTTTATGCTGGTTTAACTGAGTGAAATTTGGCCTCCAAGGTCTAAGCCTCTCACTGACCACCAACTCTCTATGTATAAGAACATGTGCTTGTACAAATATGCTGTGGTCTCCACATAATGTGAATTTTGTGTGTTTTAGTTGCCTTTTAAATAATTTTCTTACATTCCTTTTACTTTGCATCTATACAGCTCTTCTTTTAGCTATTTTCTACCTAGCTCTGTAAAGATGTATCTTCCTTTTGTGTGAAGAGTATGAAAAGAAATGAACAGTAACTAAAAGAAGGTAACAATTAAAGCCATTTTTAAAAAGTAAAGCCAGAAAGAATGCAAGCTGAATGGTCTGCATCAGAGAACTTAAAAAGACACAGCAGACAGCACTTTCAGAAGCTGAGATTTTCAGATCTTATATTGAAAACGGTTAGGGACTGGAAAATATTTTATTATGGTCCAGATTTTTCAAAAGTTTCAGGAAGGGAAACAAGAACCTTGTGGCCTGTGAATCTGACTTTTCAACTAAGAGTAATCTGCTTATCAGAGAACAAATGTTTGTCCAGAGTTTGCAGTGAATTGGCACAGAGCTCTAAAGGGCTCACTGTGCCTGTAAACTCGATGAATTTTTTGGAATGAAGGTGAACAAGGTGCCATTTACTGCAGATGCTGGGGTGGACTTAATCCCAACCACTCCTTTAGCTGACTTGGTTTGGAATTGAGATTGTAACTGGTTTGATCAAGCATGAGAGGCAAATGTGTGTATGTATGTTTCTCTCTAATTTCCCGTCCTTTTCATCCCTGTCCTGTTCTTACTCTACCTGTGCATATCAACATGATGCTTCTACTGCAGAGACCTGCCTCTTCCTGCCTGCTAATCTGCACAGTGTGTAGTTGTGTACAGTAAGGTCCTAGGCCTCGAGGAAGAAGATCTGAGAGCAGTCAAACGGGAACTGGGCCCGATGCAAGGCAGGGCTTTCCGCATGACTGATATGAAAAGGTGAATAAGGATATCCCTAACGCAGTTTTAGGAGCTGTGGCTGTGTCAGGCATAGGTATGGTAGATTTCAAAACTCAGCTGTGTCCGTAAGTTGCCTGAAAGCAATAGGAAAGGCCCTGTTCCTGCAGCCCTAGGGCTTCGTGTTGCAAATCTTGGTAATTTTCAAGCTAAGCAGAATCACACCATGTCAGTATTGAAGTGGGAGGCCCTCTGAGAAACATCTAGAGGACTGTGCTGTTTCAAGGCTAAACAACATTGCTCTGTGATTATTTGAACCATTTGTACCTGAAACTGTTGAGCTTGTTTTCCTAAACCATCCAGGTTAATGTAAATGGTTCATGGTCCATACACAGCACTCCTCCATTCACTGTTGCACCTGTACAGGCACAGCAGCCTCCTCTCTGTATTGTGCTTGTTTTCTGGGAGGTGGAGACAGACCTATTGTTTTTTATTAAAAACAATGTAAAAGTTTAAAAATATTGTATTGTGTTATGACTACTGTTAAAATATTTAAATTTGTAATTAAAAGGTTAATGTTGTTAAAATTCTAAATAAAAGTATCTAAAGTTTTGCTTGTAATAGGATGCACTGTGTCGTTAATGAGCTGGGGAAGGGGATGCTGCCACACAGCCAACACCATTGGAATATTGTGGTGCTTCCAGTTTGGCCAGTGTGGAACTGGGAATAGCAGGGAGGTGGGGGGCATCTGTGACTGGGCAGGGAGTGCTCCATCCACACTGTGTGCTGTCACTGAGGGTGGGGTGGCACGGTGAGGGCTCAGCACCGCCTAAACACCCGCCCTGTGCCTGCAGAGACCCCAGGCTGTGCCTGCACCTTCCGAGTGCAGTTGTCACAGAACATGGATGTGCTTTACAAGCACTCCAGGTGTTTCAACTGGTTATGTCAGAAACAAAACTAATTATTCACACAGCCATCTGCAGGCTGACCTGACATGGCACTGACAGGTCAGTAAGAGCCTCCTCTCTGGAGAGCTGTCCAGGCCCCCCCAGTGCAGTGCTGGAGGAACTGTACTCAGTTAAGATGAGGTGCAGAATCCACTCATACCAAATTCCTGAGGATGTCATAGAAGTAGAAGGCAGTTACCAAACTTCAGTGCCGTAACTACATTTGGCAACACAAAATTCCTCATTATTGCAGCTGGATAAACTGCTCTTCAGGTTGCAGAATGCTGCTGTTCAGCCGTCACTGTCCCTACAGAGCCAAGGGCAGTCTAGATGCACTTGCTAAAGTTGTAAACTTTGAAGAATGGAATCAAAAAGAGAATATTTTGGCAAAAGAATTATAGAATCAATAGGAATGAGATGCTGGAATATTGTGTTATAGCTGTGATTCTCATTGCTTGTATGTTTTGTGTTTGTTTTATCATCAAAATGGAAAGAGAAAAAGGGAATGGGAATGTAAGACCACCACAGTTAAGGGAAATTGCTTTTTCTTGCCTTACCTCACATCTATCATCACTCATTCATTTTTTTCCCACCTTTTCATTAAATGAATGCAGTATGTTTAACAAAATTCTCCTATGAAAAGCCAACACAATCAACAGAAGGAAATATGAGGGGAAAACTAAAAAAAATGACTATCAAAGTGCTCGAAGGCAGAAAATGAGCACTTTTCCACCTCCATATCCTGTTCTAGTAACTTTATGTGCTGTAGCATTAGGTGAAACAGTTCAGAAATTAGTTGATTATAAAACTGAAGCTGACTCAGTTCTACCTAAATCCCATATTTGTATCATGTTCTTTCTTGTAGCTTCAGAAGAGGAGGAGGACCCTCAAGACATGAGGGCCGGGGACCCCGGGGCAGAGATGGCTTTCCTGGCCCTGAAGATTTTGGGCCAGATGACGCTTTTGACTCTCCCGATGAAAACTCCAGAGGAAGGGACCATGGTGTCCGGGGGCGAGGTCGCGGTGCTCTCAGAGGTGAGGGGAACGTTCTTCCACATGGAAATGCAAGGAGGAAGGAAAGGCATTTCTTGGGCAGACAGTCTTCTCATGAATACAATGTCTTTTCTCACTCCTGTCCCCTGCTTCTCTTACTGCTCAGGAGCCCGGAAGGGTTTGCTTCCTACTCCAGATGAATTTCCACGCTTTGAAGGAGGGCGGAAACCAGAATCCTGGGATGGAAACAGAGAACCAGGTAAAAAATTTTGTGAGGTTTGTAGACTTCTACAATATAACCACTTAAAAAAGTATTTTAAAATCACCTCTTTTTCTCGTACCTTGTATGTTTGTTACCAGTATTTTACCATGAGAAAAGCCAAACGTAGTTCTTTGGTCTTTTAAATTTAGGAAAAAAATAATTATACAGAATTTAACTGACTCGAAATACAACTGTCTTACTGAACAAAAAATTATTGTGGCGTCAAAAGTCTTGATTTTTATTTGAGTTCTTGTACAGCCCAGAACTGCCTGGGCAGTTGTCACTTGTGGATCACATATCGTGTGGTTTTTAAGATATATATCAATGCCAATAGTAATCTTTCACTTGTTTGGCATCTTTTTTGTTTGCAAGAAAAATGTTTTCAGCTACAATGTCTGACAGCTTGTTGGTATTTGCATTTGTGTTACAAATGGCAACCTCCTATGGGGCAAAAGTGAGCTGTAGAACGTCACGGAAAAAACGAGCACAAATGACAGGTGAATAAGTGAATGCCTCTAAAATGACGGAAACATTTTATACTGAAAAGAACACTTTACATCTGTCACATTTTTCTTTCCTTTCAAAAACCTGTTTTACCTTTAGCTTTCTTACTAAAAGATGGCCCAGGGGAAGCTTTATGTAATTTGAACTTAAAATTGTGTGCCACATGGTGTGGGCAGCGTGTGAATTTGTGTGACTGCCACCAAAACTGAGGAATAAGGACCCCAATGAACATTACTCATTATCCTGTGGTTTTGTGCCCAGGTCCTCGTCCGGATCACCCTCCTCACGAAGGACACTCTCCAGCCAGCAGAGAACGTTCTTCTTCGCTCCAGGGTATGGACATGGCCTCACTGCCACCACGGAAACGCCTCTGGCACGACGGACCGGGCACCTCCGACCACAGAGACATGGATGCTCCAGGAGGACCTCCAGAGGAGAGGGCCAAAGGTAAAAAGCCCCTTTTATTGAAACCCACATGTAACAGTGGCATGTTTTTCAACACCAGGCTTATCTAGAACTTCTCTGTTCAGAGGGGATGAAGCTGAGCTAGTAAATATCTGATCTCACCAGCTGGGAAGCTAAAGAGCAGTCTTACAGGAACATAAGAACAGAGGGATTTTCTGGGATCCAAAATTTTCAAATCCAAATCTGCTCTCCAGCATTATAGAATCCTCTTCCTTATTGCCCTGTTCAAAAGCAGTTAGTTTTTGGCTCCCTTTTACTCCAGCTGGAAAACTCATTTTTCCTCCTTTTCAGAAATGTTATTTGTTACTCATGCTTGTGCTATCATCCTTTAACTGAAACATAAGAACACTGAGCCTGTAGTGATACGTCCCTGAAATGTTCTCTAAACCTATGAAGATCTGCAGTTCAGTGACTTACTGAAATATTTTTATATTTAATGGCTTTTGTCAGTTAACTTTTGTGTGCTTCTGTAATTGCTTGAAGAATCATATAAATTTTTGATATTCACAGCATCCATGGGCAGAGCTCTTAAACTTAATTGCAGTAGATTATGCTTGGAAAAAAAGAAAAAGGAAAATGTTTCTCTCCTAATTTCATTTGATGTCTTATGTTGTAATTAAGTTGAAAGTTGATTCCTGTTATTTCTGAATGCCATCTCTGATTGCACTGAAGTCCACCATTTCCAGCCTGAACTTGCTCTTTTCCAAGTCAGAGCTCTGATCTGTTTAGTTGTTCTCTCTAGAAGTCATTCTGTATCTTTTACTATCCTTATTACTCTGTATATACTATTTTCAGTTTTAAATTATCCTTTTCTAAATTAAACAAGGTAACCAGAAATTGCAACACGCTATTTAAGATGTGGTATAACCATGGATTTCTACACTTCTTGGTTTTGTTCTGTTTTCTCCATTCTTTCCTAACAGCTTCTTATGTCATAGTTCCCTCTAACTACTAAGCAGTCACATGCTACTGTAACCCACAAAACACATGGTTTTTGGAGTTTGTAGCTGGCTCAGAGCCTATTGCCATGTGTGCCAGTTCCACAATCATCCTATTAGCCTTGACCTTACAAATCTCAGGACTGCTGTTATTTAAATGTTGACTTTCCTTAATGTCCTCACACTGACTACCCACTGTCAGTGACAAAGGTCCTTCTCAGTTGCTTCCAGATGCTGAGCTGCCAACCTGCAGCTGAATTTTTTTGTTGTTGCTGCACAGCTTTGTCTTTGATGCCACTGAATTCCATCCCACTTCTCTTACCATTGTCCTGAAGGTCATTCAGTTTTAGCTGCATGTCACTCCTCCTCTGCTGTTCCCAGTGGACACTGTTCCCAGTGTTGTACTAACAGCAGGTTTTATCATTCTTTCATAGGTGTTTTGACTAAAACCCTGCTAGTAAACTCCCTCTTATATCAATATTTTTTCTTCCATAACTGCACTGCTGTGTTTCTCATGTAGTCAGCATCCATCAGATCTGTGAGGATTCCTTCTCCAGCTTCAGTAATGATTAGTGATCATTCAGATCCTTTATTGAGGTTAAAACAATTGTTGTCCATGCACAAGAAGTGTGGCAGTTAACTCAAAATGTGCTAAAGAAAGTTTAGAATGATGGCAGAAAGCCTGATAAACAAACCATGAACAATACTTTTTCATATACAGGCTGTGCCACCTTTAGTTGTATTAGTTAAGTCAACTAAAGATTAAAACTTCATGAATTATAAACTCTGTGGAACAATTTGGTCTCTGTTTTACACAGAACCAACCAGAGTCAACAAAAAAATAGCTCTTGCTAAAGTGGAGCAAAAATATTCTGATTTAGCTGTAGTATGTGTCCATAAAACAAGCTTACTGTAAATTTGATTTTTCAAAATACTACTTTTTATTTTAGGCTATGGATTGGGTTGGGTGTTTTTTAATGTTCATTTACATATCAAAACTAAAAAGATCTGTGAGAAGTAGAAAATGCTGTTCCTGGCAGTAAGAGCTTGTATAGGTTTTGTTCCCGGTTAGCACTAAAATAAAGCATTTCTAGCAAAAAAGGGAAGAAAACAGTAATGTTAACTCATTATCTTCACCATCAACCTCAACTGTCTCAACTTGTCATCAGTGCAGTGTCTTTGTTTAAGATTAAAGAAAATGTACTTTGCAGTAAAAACATAGCGAGAACCACAGATGGTGTTGAAGCACAAGAACCGGGAGTGCCTGGCAGTGTGGAGGACGTGCTGTCACTGTTCTGACTGTATCAACTCTAACCCCCTTTAATTTCCAAGGCATTACTTAATTGTTGCCCAGTTCTGTAGAGGGAGGAGGCATAAAATCGCAGGTCTCAGCTACGTGGTCTGTGAATGATGGCACCACGGCAGAACCACCTGAATGTACGGCGTGTCTGGGAGGGGCCACAGCTTAGACTTACACCACTGACTGGCTGTGCTTCCTTTGCAGGACGAGGAAGTTCTGGACCTTCACAAAGAGCGCCAAAATCTGGGAGGTCTGGATCGTTAGATGGAGACCACCATGATGGATTCCACAGGGATGAAGCCTTTGGTGGAGGCCCCGGGGGAGGCAACAACCCTTCTCGAGGAGGAAGGAGCGGAAGTAACTGGGGAAGAGGAAATAACATAAACTCTGGCCAGTCACGAAGAGGAGGATCCAGGGGTGGAAGAGGACGATAGAAGAGGCTTTGGCTGGGTCACGCCCAGTCCTTGCGGGACAATATTTAAATAGACTGCTACTCTGGACTGAGTCATCTGCAATGCCACGAACGAACCTGGATTCTTAACTGGGATAACTGAATGTGCTTTAGTTCCTAACAAGGGTCTTTTCCTAAATCAGTCAACTGCCTCTAGCTGCAATATTGTAGCTACCTTTGTTTTGTCCTATCCACTCCCATTTTCCTCACTTTCTTACCTACTTTATTTGTGAAGAGCTGGAATTTTTTTTAAGTGTTGGGGGACATGGAGCACTTCCACAGATTTCAGTTCACCTCCAGACAGAAACTTGTTTCTATATGTACAGTTTGTCAAAGAGTTATGTTGTTTTTGTATGAATACAGAATGTAATTTGCGCAAAAATTAACAAAAAATCAATGCAGTGTGTGATTCTTTACTCACCTATTACTATAGGGGGTTGTCTTTAGGCAAACTCGTGTTTCAGATGGAGCAACAGAACTACCTCCTGAAATCTCAGCCATTTAAAATAGTGAGAGCTGACTTGTAGTTTTTGGGTTTATCATGCACAGAGAACCTTCCTTTTCACCTTTAGCCACAGCTGTGTACAGATTACAAGTGGTGCTGATGTTAAAATTCCAAAACCCAGGCAATCACCGCAGCTTGCTATTCTGCCATCCTGGAAGAGAAAAACATGGAACACCATTTAGAACAAGTTGTCAAAGACACAGTGTGAGTTATAACCTGGATTGCAAGACAGACATCATGACACACACTGTCTTCACCTGGGCAAGTCAAGGATTTTTGTTCAAAACAGCATCTGTTTATAGAAATTGAGAAAGAATGAAGTTTAGCAGCTTGACTGATGTGTTTTACAACAGCTGTATGACACATTGCTTAAAGCTATGGGTGTTCAGCAGAGTCTGGTGCATTAATTGCTGAAGTGCAAACCTCAATAGTTCATCACTTCCATATTAACATTTTTTTAAGTGTCTCTTTCTTTAGGATACTGTTACCTTATTTTACTAGAGGAGGGAAATGAGAAGTAGGGGTTATTCCCATTTCCCACATTTCATAATAAAGCTGCTTACCAACCGTGAGTTTGTCTTCCCCTACATCATTCATGTTAATCATCTCCAGCCACCTGGTTATCAAAAGGTTCCTTTAATACCACAAGCCTCAGTGAAAATGTTACCATCTAAGTACTTATACTACAGACCTTCTCAGGAAACTTCTGCATTAGAAGTATAGCATATAATGTATAATGAAAAATTACTACCAGGCTTCACTCTCTCCTGCCTTGAATTCCAGGCTATAATAAAATATATGTCAGTGTAGTTCCTGCAACACCACATGGCAGCTATTGCATCTGACTTCTCATGCAGTCAGGTTTACCAAAGACTGGCTCAAGTCCTGATGATCTTACTTAAAGACCTCGAAGCACACAGGCTTAGCTGTTGTTCTCTTGGTTCAGGCAGTCACAAGTAGGGTTTTTTGTCTAGTTTTTAATTTGTAGTGTATAAAATGGCATTTGAAAATTCTGACTGATCGTTAACCTGTAAAATCCTTGTCATGGGGCTCAGGAGAGACAGAATGGTCTTAAGGGAATTAACTGGGAAACATCTGAGATGCATCTGATATGACAGTTTCTCCCTTGAGAGTGTAAAAAAGTGCTTTTTAGCTCTGTCTGAAGGGCCTTTGTCACTTTGGGTATATGTTTGGGAGTTAGGATCTGTCCTGAAGTTTTCATGGTAATTACTGGCAAAGAGGAAAGCTTGCCCTATTTTTTTTTTTTTTTTTTGGTTAGCAAGCCCTGTGTATTTTTTAGGGGCTAAAAGAGGTCTAATAGCATATGTGATTTAGAGGATGAGTTTTAGGCTTTAATTAAACCACAGTCCTCTACCAAGACAAGTTAGAGCGTACCTAACTCTAGGAAACCCAGTTTTATCTAGATAACTTTTATTTCCTCTGATGGGTGGTTAATTCCTTACATCACTATGGTACTTGATGTTAAGTCATATTCTTCATCAAAGGACAGCTTCTTCAGTTAAGTTTTGAAATATTTCACAATCATGAAATATGCTCAGAAAGTTATAAGAAAACTTGATAATTAGCTAGTATTTGTACAAAATCTTAAGGGACAGCATAGCAGGAGAGACAGAAGCAGCTTCCCAGTCCATGATACCATGACTCACTATTGCTGGGGAACAGACACAATTATTTAATGGGAATATAATTCTGTATTCTTCAGGTCATGTTCTTTTACCAGTGTTGCACGTAGAATCTTATGCTCTGCCTGTGAGTTTAGAGCTCCACCTTGTCTCAGATTTGTTTAATTTTATACTGCTGTTAGGAATAAAATCAGTTTTATATACTGTAGCTTAGAAGTTGTAAAAATGAGAGAACTAATTTAATGCTATTCAGATAGCTCTGATCTACATTTTTATAGAAAAAAAAGTGACCATTAGTGAAATGTCTATATTGACAACTGGACGCAAGTTGTTTTATTAAAGCAATCTATGTACATTTAAGTACCCCCTTTGACAACTTAATTCAGTGAAGTATTTGGTGAATACGTTAAACTTAAGTTGTGGTAGCAGGTAAGTATTGCAGTATTGGGCTTTATTTTGTCCATGAGGCACAAGCGCTCCATGAAATATTTCACAATCATGAAATATGCTCAGAAAGTTATAAGAAAACTTGATAATTAGCCACCTGGGGCTCTGCGCAGGTGAGGTGGTCCCGTTTCCCTGCAGTAGCCCCGTGCACGGCCCAAACGGGAGCACCCAGCTCTGTCATCCTGAATTCAGCACCTTCCTAAGTAAGGCTCGGCTTCTGCACTGAAACAGAGCTCCCATTATTAACAAATCTATTTTTGAAGGTCATGCTGTGACAAGGAAGCAATTTCTGCCCCAGTTCAGAGAACAAAATATATATATATATATACAAAATAAAGTTCTAAGAGATGAGCTACCCTTTTAAAGCCTGAGGATTTGGTCCCTTACAGCAGCTCTAAGGCAGCAGTACCTGCAAAGACCAAGGCTAATTAATATTAGCACCTTTCATCCTCTCCTTGTCATGCAGGAAACCCCCCCCCTTACAATTATGGGCAGTCTTTGCGACCCGCAGCCCCAGGAAAGTTTGTTTCACTTACTGCATGGTATTTTAAAGCTGGTTTTAAAGAGAAAAGCAGTTTAGTGGCCACAATCTTCAGATTCCCCACAGCACGTTCAGAGTGTAGGGGTCAGCATAAAATGAGGTAAAAACAGTTCATTTTTGAACGTTGTCCCCCAGACGTGATCAGATTTTGCTAAATCATCTTCGTGTTTCAGCATTCGTCGGCCCCGCGCGGCTCGGCCGCTCCTCGGTAACGGGCAGGTCCGTAACTGCAGCGCGTCGGCTCCGATCTCGCTCACGGTCTGAAGCAGCGGCAGCAGCCACGTGGTGCCATCCTGGAGGTAGGGAAGTGGGATGCTGCCAGCTCCTACCCAGCAGTGGAGCGACTCCAGGCCACGGCTATGGAGCTGGCTGCGCGGTAAGGCAAACGCCGCCAGGCTGACACCTGAGCGCGGCAGGCACAGCTCGGGGACACCGGGCCCGCTCCGGGCCGCCAGCCGCTGCTGCTCCTCCTGGAGAACCGGCGAGGAAAACCCGGCAGGACGCGGAGGGAGCGGCGTTCCCGGTCTCGGAGTCGGCTGGCGAGAGCTCAAGGCTCTCAGTCCCCCTGACACGGCCGCTCCTCCGCCGGGGCGGCAGCAGGGCCGGGCTCACCCGGGCAGGGCCGGGCTCGGCCCGGCCGCTCTCACAGGGGCAGTGCCTTGCCGCGGCTGCTCAGCGCGGCGCGGAACAACCCGGCCAGACGGCGCAGGCCGGCGGCGCCGCCGGGCAGCGCGGCCAGGAGCGCGGCGGCCGCGGTGCCGAGCTGAGCGGCAGCGCCCAGCGCGGTGAGCGCGGTGCTGCGCAGCACCAGCGCGGCGTACAGCGTCCCGAGCAGCGCCGCCAGGTACAGCAGCGCCCCGCGCCCCGGCTCCCGCAGCAGCCGGGCGGGCCCGCGCAGCAGCGCGGCGGCGCCCAGCGCGAACAGCGAGCCGAGCGACCAGAGAAGCGCGAACTTGCGGGCGCGGAGCAGCAGCAGCGGCGCGCACAGCGCGGCCAGCCCGAAGCACAGCGCGGCCAGCAGCACGCACAGAGCGCTGCCCGCCAGCCGCTGCCAGCGCGACAGCCCCGGCAGCCACGGGTCCGCCTCGCCCGCCCACGGCCACGCGGCGCTGCCCGGGGCGCCGGGGACAGCGCCCGGCGGGAAAGGGTTCAGCGCGCCCAGCCAGGCCCGCAGCCCACCGCCCTCCCCCTCCTCTGCTTGCGGGCCGCCGGCGGGCGGCGGCGCGGGGCCCGCGCTGGGGCTGCCAGCGGCAGCGGCCTTGGACTGCGCGAGGTACTCGTGCAGCTGCCGGCCCAGGTCCGCCATGGCGGGGCCGGCACCGGCGCCGGGCGCTACAGAGGGGCCGCCGCCATCTTGCGGGGGCGGAGCCGCATCCGGGCAGCGGCGGCAACAGGTGCGCGACGGGGCGCGCGCGTGCGCGGGGGCGCCGGGGGCGGGGCGCGAGTGAGGGGCCGTGAGGGCCGGGGCGGGACCCGCAGCGGGCGGGCTGCGGGGGACTCGGGGGACTCGGCGGAGCAGGTGGGCTGGGGGGATGTGCGGGTCTCGGAGGCCTCGGAGGGCTGTGAGGCGTAGGGCGTCTTGGAGGACCTTGGGGCCTGTGAGGGCTTTTAGGGGTTTTGAGGCCTCTCCTTTGGGAGCTGTGAGGGTGTAATGGTCTCAGTCCACTCTGGCGGGTTTGGGGGAGCGTAGTTTGATTAAGTCTGGGCGGTGCACGGGAGAAATAACAAAATTCTCAGGAGGTTTAATAAACTTTTACTACAAACTTCGTAACATTAAGGTAGAACAAGGTACTTGGCAAGTTTTAAAACGACATCCAGACAAAGAAAGGCACTTCAGAACCTTCACCTTACCCAGACACTGCATGGCACTTAAGAACGTATCACTGGAATTTTTTAGTCTGGCTTACAATACACTTTGAGAAGAAGGTCGGAGAAGAGAGAGAAAGGTGTATAGTCACCACACTAGGATCCAGTGTGGTCTCAGCTGCTTTTAAGTCATAGCGGAGCGCACCTTTATCTGCTTCATTGCTCTTTAATGTTCCCCGGGGGTCCCCCACGCCGGGCCGGCGCCGTTCCGGGGCTCCCCGCGGGCTCTGCGGTCACTGCGGCGGAGCCCTGGCCGTCCCACCCACACAGAGCTCGCCCTGCTCCCCCCACCGCCTCCCACCTGGTGGTTTTGAGCCAGTCAAGCACGCAGGAGGAACTGTCACTTGATTGTTGTGCAAATACACTTTTGAAAACGGAAGGTCATGTCAGTGAACTCCTTCTTGTGCTTGCACGTTTCTTTCTTGAGGGCTTTGGAGGACGTGTTCAGCTTTGGAAGTTCATTTTTGGTGCTTTCGAGAGAACCTTGACACATTTACCTCTTTTTCAAATACACAGCGCCATGTAGTGGACGTTCACCAATGTCACCGTTCAAATGTCCCACTAGGTGGAGGTGTGTACTCATAAAACCACAACCCAAAGTGCGGATCCAAAGGTGAAAACGTCACCAGCCTCAAACTAAACGTGTCAGGACAGAAAGGTTTTGCTGACCTTCCCCTTTCATGTGCGAATAGCCTTCTAGGTTTTATTTTGCCCCTGTTCCCCGCTGCTTTTGTCTGGCCGAGGAGGGCGTTAAACAGCGGAAACCTGTTTGCCACCACAGTACCTTCTTTGTTCTGCTGGGCCGCATGGGAACGGGAACTGGAGCCCTTTTTTCTTTTGCCCTAGGGGTGGGGGGACGTATAACATCTTGCTTTTGTTGGTTTTGTGGGTAAACCACTTTTCTATGTATTGTTGTGTTACTTGAAAGTTTTGCCTCAGTAAAATCGTGACTCTAGCATTTTTAACCTCTCACGGGCTTCTTTTCTTCAATTCCTCCCCCCTCGACTATTGTAAGGGAGTGGCTCAAGCAGTCTTAAATTTTCCCTGCTGAGTTTTTAAAGCCATTTCTGTGAGGGCTCCCCTGAGCCCCCCCATCCCTGTGCAGGCTTTCCCGGAGCCCCCCTATCTCTGCAAGTGGTGCCCCACAGCCCCCCTATCCCTGTGAGGGACCTTCCCAAGCAGCCCCCCATCCCTTCAAGAGATCTTCCTGGGTCCCCATCCCTGAGGGGTCTTCCCAAGCCTCCCAGGTCTCTACATGGGCTCTCCCTAAGCCCCCCCATCCTTGCATAGTGTCTCTCCAAGCCCCCCTATCCTTGTGAGGGATCTTCCCAAGCCCCCTTCTCCCTCTGAGGGATCTTTCTGAGCACCCCATCCCTGTGAGGGGTCCCCCACCCCTGCAACCGGTTTCCCTCGAGCCCCCTCCCCCTGGTGCTCACAGGCTGAAGAAAAGCTTCTCATTGATTCCCAGCACACAGGAAGCCACAAACAACACGAGGATGGTGGAGCTGAGGAAGACGTGGACGCGCATGTAGGGCGTTGGGAACCCAAGGGAAACAGGAACGCTGCAAAACCCACTGCCCACTAAGGGAAGAGATGGTGAGGATGGAAAACTCAGAGAGCTGGGGGGTTTGGGAAGGCCAGGGTGGCTCCCACCCCACAGGAGAAGAGCAGCGTGGTGCCCAGCCCCAGCCAGCTGTGCAGCGAGTACATGTCGGGCGTTCCGTGGGAATCGTGGGAGTGGAACATGACCACCAGCCCCAGCACGACCAGGATGAATGCTCCCAAAGCCAGGCTACTGTGCAGCACCTTCCAGGGAAGACTGGGGCTGTTCCCAGTGCTGGGAATGTGGTAAACCAGGGTGGCTGTGAGGGAAAAAGGTCAGGAAGCAGCTGTGCTGGGCTGGCCTTTATCTTCACTGGGCACCATGTCATCTGCACCAGGAACACTGGGGCCAGCTGCTGGCCTTATCAAGGAAGAGCTCTGTCATACAGTATCAGGAAACCACCCCAAAATTCAGATGCCATCTCCAGGGTAGAATACATCTGGGGGCTGCTCCCATACAAAAGGTGTCAGGACAGAAAGGCCTTTATATCCCCTGGGAAGCCTAACATCTGCACCACCAACACTGGGGTTAGATGCTGTCCTTCCCAAGGGAAAGACTGTGTCATACAACATCAGGAACTGACCGCTGAAACATAGAGGCACCCTCCAAAATAGAATACATCCAGGGATTGCTCCAAAAGAAAAGGTGCCAGGACAGAAAGCTGTTGCTGGCCTATGCATCCCCCAAGCAGACAAAACTCTAAGGCTGGGTACTTCTGTTCCACAGGCAAGGCAATGTTATCCAAATTTCAGGGGTGGGCTACTGAAAGAAAATATCACCTCCAAAACTGAATTCTTCTGGTGATTGCTTCCACAAAAATTATGCCAGGACAGAAAGCTGTTGCTGGCCTTTACCTTCCCTGGACAGTCTGTATCACCAACACTGGGGTGAGCTGTTGTACTTCCCAAATTAAATGTACCACCACAGTTTTCAGGAACCTGCCTCTGAAATTAGGATACTAGACCAAAATAGAGTATTTTGGAACATAGTCTGGGGATTGATCCCACACTAAAGGAGCAAGGAAACAGCCAGTTCCTGGCCTTTGCCTGCCCTGACCACCATTTCATCTGCACCACAACAGTGGGTATGGCAGCTTTTCTTCTAAGGGTAAAGTAGCATCCTCACTTCCCACAGGTGAGAGTGTGCTCAGGGGAGGTAAAGCTCAGTAACAGCTTTCTGTCCTGGCCTGTATTCAGATACCACCATTCTGTAGGTGGTATCTGAATTTCAGAAAGGGGCTCCTCAGTATGGATAAAATTATCTTTCCTTGGAAAGTAAAGCACCTGGCCCCAGGGTTGGTGATGTAGATGTGAGGCTGCCCAGAAGTAATGAAGGGCAGCATTAGCTTTCTGTCCTGGTACCATTTTATGGGACCAATCCCTGAATGTATTCAGTTTTTGAGCCCGGATCCAAATTTGGGAGGTCAGCACATGAAAATTATAGCAGTACATTTATTTTGGCAAGGCTAGTACCTAGCCCCAGTGTTGTGGGGTAGATGGTGGGGTGCCCAGAAGAGGTAATTCAGCAACACTGAATTTTCTGTCCTGGAACTTTTTTTGTAGGAGCAATTCCTGAAACTATTCCACTTCTGAAGTTCTATCAAATTTCGAATTTCGGAGGTGGGCTCTTGAAAGATGATAACGTTACTTTCCCTTGGGAAGCAAAGCACCCAAGCACAGTGTTCATTGTGCAGATGACAGGCTGCACTGGGGAGGTAAAGGCTAGCACCTGGCTTTCTGTCCTGGCACCTTCTATGTGGGATCAGTCCTGGGAACTATTCCATTCTGGAGGTGCTATCCAGTTTTCAGAGGTGGGATCCTGGAAGGTGATCACATTACCTTCCCTTGAGAGGGAAACCACCTACCCCCATGCTGCTGGTGCACATAATAAGGTACCAAGGGGAGGTAAAAGCCAGCAAGACCTGGGTACATTTTTTTAATCAGAGCAATGCCCAGACGTATTCAGTTTTGGAGCCCGGATCTAAATTTCAAATCAATAATGGGGGAGAAATAAAATCGCAGAGGTCGAAGCACAGGCATCGGGAATGTCGCAGAGGTTCAGCTCCAGTGTGGTGACAGAAGAGGGGATGCTCTCGTAAGGGACGTGGCGCAGGTCTGTCTCGGTCAGGCACAGGCGATGGAGCTGCGGACAGTGCTTCCGGAGGGCAGCCAGCAGTGCCGGGGAGAGGAGCCGCTGCTTGCCGAGGGAGCGGGGCGTGCCCCGCATCCGCAGGGTGCACAGGCTGTCGGGGAGGCGGTGGCGGACCAGGTGCCACAGGGTGCGGCGGCTGATCTGCGGGGGGAAAGGGCCTGTCTGCAGGGGGTGGGCCGGGGAGGGACACCCCTGCCCGCGGTGGGTGATCCCCCCGCTCCCCTCAGCTCCTGCCCGCAGCGGTGGTACGGCAGGGCCCGGGGGGCTCCGCTGGGCTCGGGACCTGCCCGTCTGATCCTCTTCGTGCCTCTTCGCTCCTCCGCGTTAAGCCCCGGTGTCTCATCCGGTCTGCCTCGCCCCACCGTGCCTTTTGTGTCCCCCGTGTCCCCCGCTCGGTGCCTCTTGACCCCATCACCCCCGCTGCTACTTGGTTTCTCGCCTGTATTCCCGATGTCTAGTTTCTGGTCTTGCCTCGTCTCCCCCTTCCCCTCCCCCGTTAACCTCTCTCATCCCTCAGGTAGCGATAAACCCTGTGTGCTTTTTTTCTGACGCTTTCTCATCCATTTGGATTAAAAAATGGGCAGATGCTTCAGTTTCTGAGGGCATTTCCTCCCAAGTGTGAAAACAAAGAGGTCTGGAAAATAGGAAATGGTTTGGAAAATGAACACTGAAGGCATGAGCAGATGTGCTTGTCGGAGACAATGAAATGGATTTGGGTCTAATAAAGCACCTGAGTATGAATATTAAATACATATGTGTATGAAATTGTGGTATATTAATATATGGCGTGTGATGAGGCAAAGCAGCAGCTTTGTGATTAATGGTCACTCCCTGCAGTGATTGATAACCCAAACTGTATGGTTTCTCTGCATTTTCTATTCACTTTAGGGACTTCTGCTCCTCTCAGGATGCCAAGAGCTGTTTCATGCTGTCGTTTTGCTGAAGGTTTAGCTGTCTCTGTTGGTTATTTATCAGGTATATTTAAAAAAAAGGTAGGCTTTGATGTCATGCTATGCATATGGACAGCTGGAAGGTGGGAATGGGGAAAGAACTGCTCAGATTAAAGGTCAGCAAAAGATGAGATGGAGATAACTGAGTGGAAACTCCCTACATTTTGAAAGAAGGAAAAAATGTGGAGAACAAGCCTCCAAGAGCATCAGTAGGTGTGGTGCATGAGGAAGGTGAGCAGAATCAGAACTGCTGATTCCAGATCCTTTCAGGCCTTTATTCCCCTAATTTGACTCTGGTCGTCAGATATTTACAGCTCCCCTGCCGCTTCCAAACCTAAAACACCCCACTTTGTAATTGCTGCTCCCAGTTGGATGATGAAAAATTGGCAAGTTGGGACTGTGGGATATTAAATTCCATTGTTGTGCCATCAGGATCACAAAGATCTTGCTGCAAAGATTGGGAGGACACTGAGGTTCTTGCCACATCTCACTATGCCTTGACTGTGCCTGACTGACAGATTTTTACTGTTTTTCATTTTCCCTTTTCCTGTTGCACTGTCCCTCCCCGTGCCCAGAGAGCACTGGGACAGAGAGCGTTGGAGGTTTTAATGAGGCTAATTCCACCAGTGTTAATCTTCGTGTCTGGGATAAACACAGAGCGGTAGTTATTAAGCCAGCAGCCTTGGGATGCTTTCCAAAGCAGAGCTGGGTGTTTTACCATTGGGTATTTGCCCTGAAGCTATTCTGAGAGTGGAACAGAAAAGAGACCAGGGCACAAAGGCCAGGCAACAGCAATGAGGATTTCACCACAGAGAGCGTCACTGCCATCCAGATCCGTCTGAAACCCAACAGTTTATTGCATGAGCTGCAGCTGAATGGAGGGCAGGGGGTGTTTGGGGTGAAAACAGGGCAGAAAAGCTTAGCTGAGGCATTAGTTCATCCTGCTCTGCTTCCTACAGAATTGCAAGGGGGCTGTCCTAAGGGACAGGAGAGATACAGAACCAGGTTAAAAAAACCAAAGAAGCCATCCTACAAACAAACATTGAAATTAAAGTTAAAAGCTTTATTTTTTTTTCTAATACAGTATTTGCTTAAAATATAGAATAAAAATTAGGAATAACAACATAATAACATTTGGCCACTTCTCTGGAGTTAGGATATTGAGGGGGCAGGGGGGGAAAGGAGAAAGAAGAGAAAGAGAACATAGACAATTAAAGGTGATGAGGAAACATGGATGTTCCCAGCAAAACCCAGAGGTAATGGCAGGCACAGCAATGCCCATGGGCAAACGGAATGCCTGGCTCTCAGGACCAGGTGTTCAAGAACCCCCAGGACCAAAACCTGTCCGGGGACTGACTTGAAGATCTGAATTTGAAGGAAAGGGGAAGGAACTGGAATTCATGAGTTTTTGGCTGCCAGATCTGTTTTTTCAGTGGTGGGAGGGAAACTCACTTTGCTTCTTTAATTCTGCCCTCCTTAAGCTGGTGTCTGATCCTCAGCAGTGGAGAAAGAGAAGACAGAGCTTAAACTAGTTATTCCCCCAGCCAGTGTTTGGTCAGTGGGGTTCCCAAAGACTCAGTGTACTTCCCAGCTTTCCTATTCCTCCAATCCATGGAAAACAAGGATGGAGAAACCCTATAAAAAATTTCTTAACAAACTTATTTATGTGACAAGCTTCTTAACGTATTTACATGAAAAACTTAATGTTTTAAGGCCAATGAGAATTCTGCCCCAAAACTATGTAGAGGAAATCAGGCTTTATGTAAAAAAGAAGCACTTCAAGTGTAGTAAGGAAGGATAATATTTCAGGTTGTCAAGGAGTGTGAGATATGGCACAATGTGGAAAATTCTCCTGAATTTTATGGAGGACTTCATCTTCAAAGCAAGTTCCGCCTAATTTGAGGTGGTTCAGGCGAGGCAGCACTTGCAACAAAGCAATAACAGTACCAAGGGAGACCAAATCGTAAAGGTCGAGGCACAGGGTCTCCAGGTGCTCCAGTGTTGCAATAGAAACCAGGCCCCTGTTTGTCAGGAAGTAGGCATTGCTGATTTCCAGGTAGCGGAGCTGCTTCATGTGGCGCCCAATGAATACCATGGCAGCATCACCGATGATGCAGTGGCGGAGAATGAGGCGTTCTAGCTCTTCCAGGTGTGGAGCTGCTGCTTGGATTCCCGTATCAGTGATGCGGTAAGTGCCACAAAGGCTCAGTGTCTTCAGTTGGTTCTGTGAGGAAATGTCAAGAAGATGATGGTCAGAAAAGGTGGGAATGCTGTGGATAGCGAGGTGTTGTACCTGTGGTGGTGGCACCAAAGGGGAGACGCAGAACCAGGCATCGGGAATGTCGCAGAGGTTCAGCTCCAGTGTGGTGACAGAAGAGGGGATGCTCTCATAAGGGACGTGGCGCAGGTCTGTCTCGGTCAGGCACAGGCGATGGAGCTGCGGACAGTGCTTCCGGAGGGCAGCCAGCAGTGCCGGGGAGAGGAGCCGCTGCTTGCCGAGGGAGCGGGGCGTGCCCCGCATCCGCAGGGTGCACAGGCTGTCGGGGAGGCGGTGGCGGACCAGGTGCCACAGGGTGCGGCGGCTGATCTGCGGGGGGAAAGGGCCTGTCTGCAGGGGGCGGGCCGGGGAGGGACACCCCTGCCCGCGGTGGGTGATCCCCCCGCTCCCCTCAGCTCCTGCCCACAGCGGTGGGACGGGCGGCCCGTACCCGGTGAGGACTCAGGTCCACATGTGTCCAGACCGCTCGGTCCTGCGCCAGCTGTTGCCACCGCCGGCAGACCCTGCGGGGAGGCGACCAGCCGTCAGCGCCGGGGCGAGGCGGCGGGAGGCGGCCGGTGCCGGCGCCGGGGGGCCCCACCTGGCCGCTCGCAGCCGGTCCTGCAGCGGCAGCAGCGCTAGGACCTGCAGCAGCACCGAGTCGGGCAGGAGCGGCCGCGCCGCCTCCGCCATCTTGGCCGTTCCCAACAACAGCCCCGGCGCGGCCGTTGCGGGGCCCCCCGTCACTGCCGGGGCCGCCGCGGGCACTGCGGGCACTGCGGGCACCCCCGGCGGGGGACGGCCAGGGCGGAGCAGGGGCACCTCTCCGAGTCTGGGAAACAGCAGATCTGGAACTGGGCCTCCCACTTCCTGGGAGATGCCCTTAGCAGCAGATGGCCACTTCTCGCACTCGGACCTCTGGGCTACCTACCAGAGCGGGAGGGTTTTGCAGGCATCCAAGACCTGTTTCACAAAGGCGCCTTTATTATTCAGAGAGGTCAGGTCTGTGCCTGTCCTCGGTGGTGTTGTCAAGCACACTGTTTGCTGTGAACTCCCCTTGACGTTACTTGCTGTGTGCACTTCCTGGCTTCCAATTCAGCTCTGCACAGTCACCTTCAAGTTCTGTAATGACTCTCAAAGTTTCTGTGATGTATGCCTTGATCAAGAGTTGGGGCATAATGGAATCACATTTAGTTTTGGAGAAAAGCTGGAAGTTGTTTATGTTCCTGATAAGGTCTCACTAGCTCAGGAGAAAAGCGTATACTGATAAGACAAAATAGGGTGACCAACATCCAACTCATTTCTCTTCTTTTTCATGACTGTGGTGTATGATTTCAATGCAATGTTATCTCCTTCTTGAAAGGCTCAGCGGATAAAGGTTTATATGCACATATTCCAAAATGCTTCTTAAAACTACTTCCTAGTTATACCTGTCACTCTTTTTTCTCACACTCCCAACAGCTGCTGCATATCCAGATGTTTGCTCCTGTTGCATCCACAGGAATTGTTCATGTTTCAGATGGAGTCAGAGACAAAACTAAGTTTCACAAGGCACAGGTGAAGGATGAAATCAACCGAGGCAATCATGCTATGATGCTTTTCTAGCGTTGATGAAAATTTGCAGATGGCCTGCACCAACTGAGGCAAGATGATGGGACGCAAAGTATGGACTTGCAAGCCTTTGAGTCCTTCCAGATTTGGGGCTGGAGGGCTTGTACTCCTGTCTTCCAAATCACAGCTGATGCCATGAAGCTGGGAAGGGGACATAATGGTGATACCTCAGAGAGAACCAGAGCAAGGATCTCAGGGGTGCAACCCCAGGGGATGCCAGTAGTGCCCAGACTGGGGCTCACTGGGGCCGAGAAATGATCACCCAGACATTTGGCATGGGTTTGGAGAGAGGAGGCTTGGGGAAGGCCAAACTGTGCACATGGTATCTGCCTGAGAAGAAGTCCTTTGAACTGTTGCTGCTGCGGGTCTGGGAGCAGAGGGCGGGGGTCAGCGGCGTGAAGCCAAGATGGCGGCTGAGCGTGAGGGCTGTAGGCCAGGGGTCGGTGCTGGGCCTGCTCCTCTGCCTTCTCGCCAGCGGCCTGAATGATGGGGCCCGGGGTGCCCTCAGCAAGTTTGCTGGGGATCCCCCGTGGGCAGGAGCTGCTGAGACACCAGAGGATGACACTGCACCCACAGGGACCTCGACAGGCTGGAGAAAGGGGCTGACGGAGCCTGCGGAAGTTCAACCCAGGCAGAAGCAGAGTCCTTCCCCTGGGGAGCAAGGGCTCCAGGCAGCAGGACACACTCTGGAAAGCAGCTCTGCAGAGTTGGTCCTGCTGAGTGTGATGCTGGCACAAGCCCAGCAGCAACAGGGACCGTGCTGGAAGGGAGCTGGGCAAACGCCGGGGTGTGCAGCCCGCTGCCGGGTGGGCTTTGTGTCACAGGCTCTGTGTGTGTGGACTGGACGGGGGAGCTCGTGGCTGCGCCCTGAGCGTGCCCCTGGGAGCTCTGGGATGTCACCGGAGTCACAATGGCCCCTGTGACATCACCTGCAGCAGAGAAAAAAGGCAGCGCTGGGCACTGGCAGCAGCACACAGACGAGGTCTGCGGGCAGCACCCGAGCCGTCGAGTACTGCCACCGCACGCCAGACTGTGAGCCGCCAGTGGCCAAGGAGCCACAGACAGTGGAGAGTGACTGAGGAGGCTCTGAGTCTCGACAGGGACCGAGGAGCCTCTGAGTGCCACCAGCAGCCGAGGAGCCTCCGAGTCCCGCAGTGGACGAGGGGGCTCCGAGTGCTGCCAGAGGAAGCCAAGCCCTTGAGTCCTTGCAGCAGCAGCCACCAAGTACCAGCAGCAGCTGCGAAGACTCGAGGGCTGGAGCAGCAATGGAGGAGGCCAGGCATGAGGCAGCAGCGCCAGGAGCCGCCGGGAGCTGCCTGCTCTGCCTGGGTGTCCTCGAAAGCCCCGCTGCCGTGGAGCCCTGCGGGCACGTCTTCTGCCATGCCTGCATCCAGGGCCGGGCCGCCGCCGCTGCCCCCTGCCCGCTCTGCCGGGAGCCCATCGGGGCCATCCGCCTGCTGCAGGGGCAGGACGGCCGTGCCGGGCTGGCCCCACGTCGCCGCCGTCGCCCCCTGCATCCCTTCGTGCTGCGCTGGCGGCAGGAGCAGCAGCGGCGGCAGGAGGAGCAGCGGCGGCAGGAGGAGCAGCAGCGGGGTGCTGGAGGTCGCCGTCGCCGGAGATTCTCCGATGGGGATAGGGAGCAGAGTCCCCCCGTGCCCCTGCGCCGTGTGCGGCTGGAGCTGGAAGAGCGGCTGCACAGGGTGCGGGAGGAAGAGCTGGCCTCGGGGGACCATGTGCGCCGCCTGCCCTTCATCCCCTTTGAACCGGAGGCTCCGTGGGACCTCTGAAATAAACCCCCCGTTATTCCTACCCGAGCCTCTGCTGGATTCTTCTGCTCCTTTGCTCATTGCTGCAGGGCTGGGGGAGTGGGAGCTGTAGGAGAGGGTGGGATACGGTTAAAGAACCAGGAGAGGGGGAGGAATATAATGTTGGAAGAGGGGAGAGGGGCGATTCCTGGTTGTTCTGGGCTGCTTTGCTCATCCCCATGGGGATGCAGCCCAGAAGACTAAGACAAAAGGGAAAGTCCCCTGAGACTCCTTGAGCACATCCCAAACGGGTCAGTGTGTTCTCTTCCGAGGGCCAGGGCCAGGAAAGAGGCTGAGATGGAGGCTTGGGGCAAATCCTCCTCTGCTCTCCTGGCCGTGCGCACCCCTGTGCTGTGCTGCGGAGGGCTGCGATCCCTGGGGAGGCTCTCCGGGCTGGCTCAGCCCTGGCACAGTCGCCGGCCAGGGGTGGCACCTGCCTGCTCTGCCTGAGGGAGAAGCGGCCCCAGCCGGGCTGGGACTCCTATTTAGGGGTTCTCCTCTGAAGAAGCCCGGAGCTGTTCCGGTCCCTCCTTGCAGGGGCTCCCCCAGCAGCGCCAACTTCCCATCCCTGCCGCCTCCTCGCACGTGGTCCCTGGGCTTGGCCGGCCTGGGCTGGGCCAGTCTGGAGAGCACGGGCGGGCCGTGCTTTGGAGCTGGAAGGCTTGTGCTCCCGTCTGCCCCACTCCCGGGTGGTGGCCTGTGGCTGGGAAGGGGCGATCATGGAGGGGGGGGTCCCTCGGGGCTGCCACAGCCAGGAGTCCCAGGGCTGCACCAGTGCTATCTGAGGGGATCCCAGTGGTGCCCAGGGATGTCCTGGTACTGCCCCGGGGTGTCCCGCAGGCGGCGGGATGGCAGCAGCAGCAGTGGGGCCCTGGAGGTGCCTGGCACTGGAGATTCTCCCCTGAGTAACCTCCATCTCTTTGCAGAGGGCACAAAACAATTAGGAGAGGTGGTCTCAGTGTGTAGTGCTCCAATGGTATCTTCAGGAAAAGGGGAAGGAGAGGCAAACAATTCAACAGATGCTACCTTTTATTCCAGAGCTGCTGTTATTGAAGAGGAAAAGGCTCATTGGGGGCCGAGAAATGATCACCCAGACATTTGGCATGAGTTTGGAGAGAGGAGGCTTGGGGAAGGCCAAACTGTGCACATGGTATCTGCCTGAGAAGAAGTCCTTTGAACTGTTGCTGCTGCGGGTCTGGGAGCAGAGGGCGGGGGTCAGCGGCGTGAAGCCAAGATGGCGGCTGAGCGTGAGGGCTGTAGGCCAGGGGGCGGTGCTGGGCCTGCTCCTCTGCCTTCTCGCCAGCGGCCTGAATGATGGGGCCCGGGGCACCCTCAGCAAGTTTGCTGGGGATCCCCCATGGGCAGGAGCTGCTGAGACACCAGAGGATGACACTGCACCCACAGGGACATCGACAGGCTGGAGAAAGGGGCTGACGGAGCCTGCGGAAGTTCAACCCAGGCAGAAGCAGAGTCCTTCCCCTGGGGAGCAAGGGCTCCAGGCAGCAGGACACACTCTGGAAAGCAGCTCTGCAGAGTTGGTCCTGCTGAGTGTGATGCTGGCACAAGCCCAGCAGCAGCAGGGACCGTGCTGGAAGGGAGCTGGGCAAACGCCGGGGTGTGCAGCCCGCTGCCGGGTGGGCTTTGTGTCACAGGCTCTGTGTGTGTGGACTGGACGGGGGAGCTCGTGGCTGCGCCCTGAGCGTGCCCCTGGGAGCTCTGGGATGTCACCGGAGTCACAATGGCCCCTGTGACATCACCTGCAGCAGAGAAAAAAGACAGCGCTGGGCACTGGCAGCAGCACACAGACGAGGTCTGCGGGCAGCACCCGAGCCGTCGAGTACTGCCACCGCACGCCAGAGTGTGAGCCGCCAGTGGCCAAGGAGCCACAGTGAGTGGAGAGTGACTGAGGAGGCTCTGAGTCTCGACAGGGACCGAGGAGCCTCTGAGTGCCACCAGCAGCCGAGGAGCCTCCGAGTCCCGCAGTGGACGAGGGGGCTCCGAGTGCTGCCAGAGGAAGCCAAGCCCTTGAGTCCTTGCAGCAGCAGCCACCAAGTACCAGCAGCAGCTGCGAAGACTCGAGGGCTGGAGCAGCCATGGAGGAGGCCAGGCATGAGGCAGCAGCGCCAGGAGCCGCCGGGAGCTGCCTGCTCTGCCTGGGTGTCCTCGAAAGCCCCGCTGCCGTGGAGCCCTGCGGGCACGTCTTCTGCCATGCCTGCATCCAGGGCCGGGCCGCCGCCGCTGCCCCCTGCCCGCTCTGCCGGGAGCCCATCGGGGCCATCCGCCTGCTGCAGGGGCAGGACGGCCGTGCCGGGCTGGCCCCACGTCGCCGCCGTCGCCCCCTGCATCCCTTCGTGCTGCGCTGGCGGCAGGAGCAGCAGCGGCGGCAGGAGGAGCAGCGGCGGCAGGAGGAGCAGCAGCGGGGTGCTGGAGGTCGCCGTCGCCGGAGATTCTCCGACGGGGATAGGGAGCAGAGTCCCCCCGTGCCCCTGCGCCGTGTGCGGCTGGAGCTGGAAGAGCGGCTGCACAGGGTGCGGGAGGAAGAGCTGGCCTCGGGGGACCATGTGCGCCGCCTGCCCTTCATCCCCTTTGAACCGGAGGCTCCGTGGGACCTCTGAAATAAAACCCCCCATTATTCCTACACGAGCCTCTGCTGGATTCTTCTGCTCGTTTGCTCATTGCTGCAGGGCTGGGGGAGTGGGAGCTGTAGGAGAGGGTGGGGATACGGTTGAAGAACCAGGAGAGGGAGAGGAATGTAGATGTTGGAAGAGGGGAGAGGGGCGATTCCTGGTTGTTCTGGGCTGCTTTGCTCATCCCCATGGGGATGCAGCCCAGAAGACTAAGACAAAAGGGAAAGTCCCCTGAGACTCCTTGAGCAGATCCCAAACGGTTCAGTGTGTTCTTTTCCGAGGGCCAGGACCAGGAAAGAGGCTGAGATGGAGGCTTGGGGCAAATCCTCCTCTGCTCTCCTGGCCCTGAGCACCCCTGTGCTGTGCTGCGGAGGGCTGCGATCCCTGGGGAGGCTCTCCGGGCTGGCTCAGCCCTGGCACAGTCGCCGGCCAGGGGGGGCACCTGCCTGCTCTGCCTGTGGGAGAAGCGGCCCCAGCCGGGCTGGGACTCCTATTTAGGGGTTCTCCTCTGAAGAAGCCCGGAGCTGTTCCGGTCCCTCCTTGCAGGGGCTCCCCCAGCAGCGCCGACTTCCCATCCCTGCCGCCTCCTCACCCATGGCCCCTGGGCTTGGCCGGCCTGGGCTGGGCCAGTCTGGAGAGCACGGGCGGGCCGTGCTTTGGAGCTGGAAGGCTTGTGCTCCCATCTGCCCCACTCCCGGGTGGTGGCCTGTGGCTGGGAAGGGGCGATCGGGGGGGTCTCTTGGGGCTGCCGCAGCCAGGAGTCCCAGGGCTGCACCAGTGCTATCTGAGGGGATCCCAGTGGTGCCCAGGGATGTCCTGGTACTGCCCCGGGGTGTCCCGCAGGCGGCGGGATGGCAGCAGCAGCAGTGGGGCCCTGGAGGTGCCTGGCACTGGAGATTCTCCCTGAGTAACCTCCATCTCTTTGCAGAGGGCACAAAACGATTAGGAGAGGTGGTCTCAGTGTGTAGTGCTCCAATGGTATCTTCAGGAAAAGGGGAAGAAGAGGCAAACAATTCAACAGATGCTACCTTTTATTCCAGAGCTGCTGTTATTGAAGAGGGGCCAAGAACTGATCACCCAGACATTTGGCATGGGTTTGGAGAGAGGAGGCCTGGGGAAGGCCAAACCGTGCACATGGTATCTGCCTGAGAAGAAGTCCTTTGAACTGTTGCTGCTGCGGGTCTGGGAGCAGAGGGCGGGGGTCAGCGGCGTGAAGCCAAGATGGCGGCTGAGCGTGAGGGCTGTAGGCCAGGGGTCGGTGCTGGGCCTGCTCCTCTGCCTTCTCGCCAGCGGTCTGAATGCGGGAGGAAGAGCTGGCCTCGGAGGACCATGTGCGCCGCCTGCTCTTCATCTCCTTTGAACCGGAGCCTCTGTGGGACCTCTGAATTAAAACCCCACCTTGTTCCTACTCGAGCCTCAGCTGGTTTCTTCTGCTCCTTTGCTCATTGCTGCAGGGCTGGGGGAGTGGGAGCTGTGGGAGAGGGAGTTGCAGCTGTGGGAACTTGCAAAGAGAGTGGTATATGCCTGAAGAACTGCTGTAGAGGGAGGAATGTATATGTTTAACTGGAGGAGGGGGCCCATTCCCGGTAGCTTCTGTGCTAGTTTGGTTATCCCTACAGGAATGGAAAGGGAAAAAGGAATGGAAAAGGAACACAAAAGTAAAGAGTAAAAGAAAGGGGAAGGGAACAGGAAAAGGGAAAATCTCCTGGAACTCTTTTAGGAGATTCCGAAGGAGGCACTGTCTGCTCTCCTGAGGATCATGGTCAGGAAGGAGGCTGAGATGAAGGTTTGGGGCAGACCTTCCCCTCTGCTCTCATGGTCCTTCACACCCCTGCACTGTGGAGGGCTGTGATCCTGGGGGAAGCTCTTCAGGCTGGGGAGGTAGCTCTGGCATAGCCACTAGTCAAAAGGCCTTCAGCAAATTCCCCCTCTTACAGTGAAGTATAACCTGTGCTGGTACTCCAGGTCTATTGCTTGATGGCATAGGCTCATCTGCCCGTAACAGCCAAGTGTCAGCCTGCACTGAAGCCAGGGAGGGATTGAGAGGCTGAATCTGTAATGGATCCTTGCCAGCCCATCCATGTTTATAGGCTGTGATCTGCTGCCTCTTGATTTTATTCCAGCCCCTCGATTAAATTTCTCACATGTAAGTGAGCCCCACAAGTCTGTCCTGGCCATATATAATGGATGGCGGTAGAGGGGAAGAACACAAACATGGCTCAATGTCTGTAACAGATGCCCGGGTAGCGGTACAGCAGGTCCTTCTGCTGAAGATCACCCACCCACTGCCAGAACCTGCCCTCAGTGCCAGCCAATGCAAAAGGCTTCCTCTCTGTCCCCAGCCTCAGCCATTCTCTATCAGCCCAGGAGCAGGACCAGGCTTGGAGCCAAGTCACCGAGCCATTATCTCCAGGAACACTGCCAGTTCCACCCCCCGAGCCCCGGTGCTGCCACTCGATGCCCCATCAAATATTAATACAACGCTCAGTGCCTCTGTGCCCTGCCCCAGCACTGCATCCCTGGCCCCTGCCCTCTCCAGGGCTGCCCTACCACTCTGGCCTCCCCTCCCACCCCGTATTGCTCATTCCTCCACACACAGGGACTTTGGGGGTGCAGCTGCACCCACCTTTGGGTGTTCCCTGAGCAGGGCAGGGCAGGCAGGACCAGGCTCCCTAACCTCGGCAGGGGTCCCCAGCGGCCAGTTCAGCCCCACACAGCAGGTAAGACCCCAGGGGCTGGAGCAGTGGGCATGTCCCCAGAGAATGCCAGCCCAGGGAGTGGGAGGGTAGGCTGGTGGTATGGGATGTCGGGAGAAGGGTTGGTGGCCATGAGGTGGCCCTGTGCTTGGCCCTTGGCTGCAGGGGTGTTGCAGTGCATCCCTGGGGGAAAGGGGGCAGTGGGGACTCCTCAGCTTCTTCTCTGAAGGAAGCAGACCCACCTGTGGGTCTACCCTGGGAAGGGTTCCCCTCAAGAAGTGGGGTGATGTGTTGGGTCACCCATCAGCTGCTCACGCCTGGGGGGCCCTGGGAATGTTGGGGCCCACGTCCCCTTTGCTGCCCTCCCGCAGGAGGAGGCCAGTGCCTCTGCTCCCAGCAGCCACTCGGCCCTGCGGGGGATGGAGCCCAGCAGGTTGGTGCCGGCGGAGCTGAAGTTGCGCAAGCCCTCGCAGCGGGCCAGGATCCCAGAGCCCTTCCTCGCCCACCCGGTAGGTCGCTGGCTCGGTCCGCGGCCCCCAGCTCCTCCTCTCGGCCGCCGTTTAGTCCTTCGAGCCCCCCGTGACTCTAACCCGCGCAGGACGGGGTGGCTGGGACAGCGGGGCCCCCCGGGCCGGACCCTGCGGAGGGGGACGTGGACTCCCTTGTGCCCACGCACGACGAGCGGGGCCGGCTCATCCCTGAGTGGAAGCGGCAGGTGATGGTGCGGCGGCTGCGGGCCCGACTGCGGGACGAGACGGCGGGAGGGCAGGTAGGAGGGGCGCGGGGCGGGAAGGGGGTGCGGGCGGTGAGGGGTCGCTAACCGCGCGTCTCCGCAGGATGCGAGCTCCTGGAGCTTCTCGCCCTCCCACCAAGCCATGCTGGGTCCCTTCGGGGAGCTGCTGACCGAGGCGGACCTGCATCAGCTGGAGAGGGCGGTGGAGAGCCTGCGGCTGCGGCGACGCGGCGAGGTGTACCAGAGCGAGCTGCGGCGCCTGGCGCGGGAGCTACGCGCCCTCTTGCCCGGCCCGCTGCTCAGCATCTCCATCCGCAGCCCCCCGCCCGCCCCCGGGCAGCCCCTGCCCCTCTGGTGCGGCCGCCTGGCCGGCGCCGTCAGCAGCCTGGCCGCGCTGCTGGGCCACGCCGAGGGGGTGTGGGGGTCCCGCGCTGTCGCCGCCGCCCCTACAGCTGACCCCGCTCCCCTTGCCGCCGACGGACAGTGCCGGGAGCCGGCGGGCAGCCTGGCACAGCGGGAGATCCGGCAATGTGGAGTCTGCGTCCGCAGCTTGCGCGGCGCCTTCGAGCCCGCCTGGGGGGCGGCGGGGGCCCCGCCGGCCGGGGGCGGCGAGACGGAGGCCGCAAGCGACTCGGGTATTAGCTGCGAGGAGGCGTTTTCTGACGGCGGCGGCTCGGGGCTGGGGCCGGGGCCGGTGTGCGGCAGCCTGAGGAAGGAACGGATCGTGATGCTCTTCCTGAGCCACTGGAGACGCTCCGCGTACGCGCCTCCCCAGCCCGCCGCCGGGGACCCTCGGGAGAAGGCGGGGAGTGGGCCGAGGGGGGCGGCCCGCCTGGAGCGGCAGCGGGTGGCCATTCAGAGGCTCCTGAGCGCCTGGCGGGACGTCGCCTCCCGCCGCCCGCCGCCGCCGCCCCCCGTCCGTGCCCTGCTGTCACCAGAGCAGTTCGTGGCGGCGGCGGGGGGCGGCCCGGCCGAGTACGAGAGCTTGTCGCTGGAGATGTTCATGCTGGGCTATTTCCGCATCTTGGAGCAGGAGCTGCCCCCCGAAGAGCGCCGCGGCCGCCACCTGCTCTGCTTCGAGGTGTTCGAGCAGCTGGGACGGCACGGCTGGCGGGCGGTGCGCGCCTTCCACCGCGCCGTCACCGACGAGATCGCGGCTGGGAGGCGCAGCTGGCGCGACAGCTTCGACGACATCAAGGCACGGTACTTCGGGTCCTCGCAGAGCCCGGCCCGGCGGCCGGGGGAGGCCAGGGAGGAGGGGGAGGAGATTTGCCGCTACATCGATCGCAGCTTCGCCTTTTGGAAGGAGAGAGAGGCCGAGATCTTCAGCCTGGAGGACTGATGCCGGCGGGCTGCGGAGTGCTGTGCAGGCCGCGGGATGCAATAAACACCTTCTCGGTTCTCTTCCAGCTGAGCGAGGTTTTCCGGGGCGATGGAGAAAGCTGCTGAGCGGGGGGGCGCTTGGATTCCCCCCTTCCCCGGGTCGGATATCTCGGTTCCCGGCTGCCGCCGCTTGTTTGCAGCCGTCGCGGAGTGAGATAACGGCCTATATTTACACCGGCAGTCCCGGCCGGGGGAGGGAGGAGGGGCATCGCGGGGACCCCCGTCTACAGACAGGGCGGAGGGGACAGCAGTGGGAGCGGTTACCCCCAAGCACGGTATCCAGCCGACCCCCTCACGAGGGGGAGATTTTACTAAAGGCAGCAACGCCGCGGGGCGACCGGGATGGGCGACGGCTCTGCCCGTGCGGTGCCTTTAAGAGCAGGGAGCAGTGTCCAGGTGCCACCTAAAAATAGCGTGTAGCCCCCCTTCCTGGCTAATCCCGTGTCGCGCGGCGTGTCCCTGCCCAGCGCCGGGACGGTGACTGTTTCCTTCCCGCGGGCCGGCCGGGGCTGTGGAGCACTGGTGAGAGCGGGAGCTCAACCCAACCCCAAATCACCCCCAAAAGGCCGGTCGCAGCCCCAGCAGGGCAGCTGCGCCGTGGGGAGGAGAAAACATGGCCTGGGAGTGGGGACGCTGCGGGGAGCACTTCTGCCACCACTGCTAACCGTGACTCGGGCTCTGGTAAAGCAAGGTCGGTGCTGGGGCAGGGGAAAAGGGAGACGCTATCACCTTTTCCTGGCAGGGAAACCCTCTCCTCGCTCTGCTCGGGTGCTGCCTGCCTGCCAGGCCCCGCAGCCATCCTCGGCACCATGGTGAGGAACGTGGACGACTTTGACTTCTGCCTGCCTTCGCACGCCCAGGGCGTGCTGGAGGGGCTGCAGCAGATGCGCACCAACCCTAAACTGGCCGATGTGACACTGGTGGTGGGCGGGCAGGAGTTCCCTTGCCACCGTGGTGTCCTGGCTCTCTGCAGCCATTACTTCTATGCCATGTTCTCCGGAGACTTCGCGGAGAGCATCGCGGCACGGGTGGAGCTGAAGGAGGTAGATCCCAGCGCGCTGGAGATGCTGCTCAACTTCGCCTACACAGGGAAGGTCACCATCAACCAAGGCAACGTGGAGGGGCTGATGCGGACCTCCAGCCAGCTCCACTTCCCTGCTATCCAGAAGGTCTGCAGCCGCTACCTCCGGCAGCAGATGGACGCCACCAACTGCCTAGGTATCTGTGAGTTTGGTGAGAGCCATGGCTGCCCTGAGGTCTCCTCCAAGGCTTGGTCTTTCTTGCAGGAGAACTTTGAAGCCGTCTCTCTGCAGGAGGAGTTCCTCCAGCTCTCCAAGGAGAGGTTGGCCATCTACCTCTCCAATGACCAGCTGCAGGTGCAGGAGGAACAGAGCCTGGTCGAGGCTGTGCTGCGCTGGGTACGCCACGACCCGGGGCCCCGAGCCCAGTTCCTGCCCGAGCTGCTGGAGCTGACCCACCTGGTCTCACTGCCTGACCAGTACTTGCAGAACCTACTTGCCACTGAGCCCCTTGTCCGTGACTCAGATGCCAGCAAGGCCCTCGTTGCCCGATCCCGCACCATGGTGGGTATCCCCTGCCCCAAATACCACTCCCCGAGCCAGGAGGGAGGAGCCTGACAGTCCTGCCCTGGCCTCTGCATCAGGGGCAGAGCAACACTGGTGCTCTGAAGAACACCCCAACCCCACCACAGAAGCTGGAGGAGGTGCTGGTGGTGGTTGGTGGCCGCGTGCTAGAGGATGGAGAAGATGAGGGAAGGGAGCTGGAAATGCCAACTGCCTCCAGGAACTTTGCCTTCTACAACCCCAAAAGTAGTAAGTGCCCACTTCCCCCTCCACTATTCTCCATGTTAATTAACCCTCTGTCTACCCCAAAACCGCCTCTTGCCAAACTAGTGTCAGTTTGGAGGGGCACTGGTTGGGGTGGAGGATGGGATTGAAACAGGGATGGCTTAAGAAGTGTCATTGCTGGCTGGGAGGTCATTGCTTGACTCTGCTGGGTTTCAGAGCGATGGATGGCTCTGCCTGACTTCCCTGATTACAACAAATGGGGCTTTTCCCTGGTGACTCTGAACAACGATGTGTACGTCACAGGTAGGTACCAGGGCTGCTGGTGCAGGGTGGACATCTTCAAGGAGCAGGGATGGATGACAGAGGACAAACGTGTGAGCACGAGGCACTAGCATGGGGCCAGGGGCTCCTCTCTGAGCAAAGTCCTCTAATTACTCCCTGCTTTGGCAAATCTGGACGCTGGCAAGAGATGCCCAGGGACAGCTGCACTCAGAGACGGTGGCCCCTCTGACTTATCTCTCTCCAGGTGGCTCTCGGGGGTCCCAGAATGATACCTGGTCAACAACCCAGGCATGGTGCTTCTGCCCCAGGGACGGCCTGTGGAAGCCCATCACTTCCATGCTGAGAGCCCGGACAAACCACACCAGCGCTGTCCTCAATGGTGAGATCTACGTCATTGGGGGTAAGGCTGCAAAGACCCTGTAGGTGCTGCTAGGGTGGGGGTTCATGGGTGGCCCAGAGCAGCGGGGTGGCTGCAGCATCCCGTCATCCTGCAGGGACGACGGTGGACGTGGTGGAGGTGGAGTGCTATGACCCCTACAACAAGAGCTGGTGTGCCATCAGCCCAGCCCCCAAGTACGTGAGCAATTTTGCAGCTGCCAGCTGCTCGGGCAAGCTCTACCTGGTGGGCTCCTGTGCCGTCAAGTACAACGCGCTCACTCTGCAGTGCTACAACCCTGTCCAAGGTGAGAGTGCACTCTGCCACCATGACCCACCAACACTGTCCTGGGGAGAGGGTGGTGAGGGGGGTCACCCCAGGCAGTTGACCCCCTGTGCTTCCAGGCGTGATCCTGTGGGATGCGAGCAGGTGCGAACAGGGGGCACTGCTGGCTGCGGCACAGGGAACAGGGCTCCAGCAGGAGCACGGCTGCCTGCAGCACGGACCTGAGTCGCAGACATCCAACACAGGCTGGAGCTGAGCTTCAGTGGTGCGGGATCTCTGGGGCATAAGGGTGGGGGAGGCTGCCTGCCTTAGGAAGAAACTAACCCCCTGTGACAATGCCACCTCCTTGGGTAGCCTCTCCCCCATCCCGCAGCACTAGTACAGACCACATCCTCATTCCCTCTATTTTTTATGCAAGACTCTTGCCTGGGGTGGGGACTGTGGGCACCTGTCTGCCTGGCTACTCTGCCTCCTCCCTTTCAAATTCCCCCTGAAATAGCCATGGGCTCGGCGATGCTTTTTTCAGTCACTGGCAGCTGCATCAAGAGCCAAGGGTGGGACACACTGCTAATGCCTGCTCCTTGCAGATTTGTGGAGTGTGATCACATCCCCCTTCATCCCCAAGTACCTCTCGGCCCCACGCTGCGCCACCCTGCGCGGGCTCATCTACCTCATTGGAGACAACACCAAGAAGGTCCACGTGTACAACCCGGAGGCCAACATCTGGCAGAAGGTTGTGGGATGTGGGGCCAGGCTCACTCACCCTCCCAGGGATGTGGGGAGGGTTTTCTCACCTGCTTCCCCTGGGTGCCAGCACTCCTTCTCCCTCCTGCCCACTCATCCCTTGGCTCTATGAATTCCTGCAGAGCTGAGGATGCCCCAGTCCTTCTTCCCCTGCTCCCCCATCACTCCTGCACTAGGCACCAGGGGCCCCCAAACCTCACAGAGAGGATGGGGCAGGGAGACACATCTGGTGGATAGATGTCCTCTGCAGTGGGAGTGGGAGGTCAGCAAGGAGTCCCTGAACATCTCACCCTGCCCCTCAACACAGGTGCAGCTCCTGCATGTGCTCCATGAGAATGGAGGGATGGTGGCACTGGGTGACCGTCTCTTTGTGACCGGTGGCCACTGGAAGGGCATGGATGGGGACTACCGGGTAGAAATGGAGGTGTATGACTGCGCCAAGGACCTCTGGACACGGGAGGGCTCGCTGCCCTGCCTCTGGCTCTTCCACAGCTCCTCCTCCATCTTCATTGACACCTCCAAGTGGACAGAGGCTTTCCAGGGTGACCATGGGTGGTAGGAGAACCTGTTGCCCTATGCAGCCACCCTCCCTTCTCACGTTTCCTCGCAGCCTGTTCAGCCCTGTGAGGGGGGGATGGAAAGCCCTCTGCCAGGCTGGCTGGGGAAGCAGGAATGTGTTTCCTCACCACTGCAGGGAAAAGGCTTTTCCTTATAAACACGCTTTGGCTAATGCTCTCTTCTATTGGCTTGTGGTTTGTTTTTTCGTTTGGCTGGTTGGGCTTTTTTTAGAACTGCCTTTCCCCCCTCTAAACCCCTAAAGCTTTCAGGGTATTACATGGCCTCCCAGAGTGTAGTCCATCCCGTCAAAGTCTGATGTTGCTGCTTGGGGGCCATGGTCTCTTTCCCCATTCCACTGACAGCCAGCATGGAAAAACCCAAGTGGGACCAGGGGAATCTTGCCCAACACCCAAAGCTCTCCAGCCCCTTGCTGGCTAAGATTTAAGCGTCGGACCCGCCCCAGTGCCCTGTGGCACAGAATAACAGGAGATAAGTCACGTTTTGGATACTTTGTGTCCTCAGGTGGCCCAGCAGCCTGTGGCGAGGTGCATAATCCCGGTTTCCCTCCTGTAGGACACACTATGCACCCCAGGGAAGCGATCCGCGCTCATGGTGAAGCAGCCAGCACCCGAGTGCCTCCCTGCTCCTGGTGCGGTGACTGCTGCTCCAGCCTCGTCTCTGCCGGCACCGGTGGTAGAGGGATGGGCGACGCTTCCCTGTCGGCCGGGCCTACAGCCAGCACTGCTGGACGGTTCAGCCGTCCCGCCTTCGGTTGTTCTCTATTTTAGAAACGTTAAACATGCCCAGGGCGGTGAGCACCTCCCACTTCAGGAGCCCCGCGCTGCTCCCCACGGCCATGCGGGGTTTTAAACGCGAGGAGGTCCCCACGCCCGGAGGGTAAAGCCTGGGAGTGGGGCGGGCTCGAGGCGGGGCCGGGACCGCCCACCCGGTGGCGGCGGCGGGATGCGGCTGTCGGGGCTGTGCCTGGCGCTCCTCTGTGCCGCTGGCACCAGCGCCGAACCCCCACGGGCAGCTCGGGAGCGGCCGCCGGGCCCGGGAGCAGCTGCGGGACGGGCGGCGGCGGCGACGGGACGCGGAGGGCCGGGGGCGGCCGGCGTGGACCCCCGGCAGGCATGGATGCTGCTGGCCGGGAGCCCCGGGCGGGGGAGCGGCGGTCGGGCCCGCGGCGGGGCGGGGGCGGTCACGGCCCCGGCGGGCGGCCGCTCTCCGGGAAAAACGCCCCCGGCTGTGGCGCAGGGCAGTGTGCCAGGGGCTGCCCCGGACCCCCCCGCCGCGCCCGTGGAGCTGCTGAGGGAGCTGCAGCTCCTGCTCAGAGGTACCGGGGTGGGGGTCGGAGGCCAGGGCGGGAGCCGGGGGGCCAGCAGGCCGAGGCACAGTAGGGTGGGCCGCAGAGCCAGTAAAAGTTAAGGTGCTTTCCTAACGCTGTGGGGTTTGGGGTCAGGAATGGCAAAGGAGCAGGCAAAGGAGCAGAGGACAGCCTGGGAAGGGCGTAAGGAAGAGGAAGAACGCAGCCCCCAGGCCGGGGCCCATCATCGCGTGGAAGCAGCCTTCCACTGCCGAACGCGCGAAGACATCTCCGTGGAGCAGAGAACACGACAGGAGCTGCGGCTGTTCTACATCGTTAGTGCCCAGCCTGTCCCTCTCCCCTGTCTGCGGGGACACCCGCTCAGCCACAGGGGCTCCTTCTCTAACTCCAGCCATTCCCTGTCCCAGCCTGAGAGGGAGGAGACGTTTCACCGCGGCCCAGGGCTGAACTTGACCAGTGGGCAGTACACAGCCCCTACCGCAGGGTACTACACCTTCAGCACCACGCTGCACATTGGTGAGCCCTTGGGCTGCCCCCCGGCCCTGGCAGGGTGGTCTGGGATGGCTCTCACCCCCAGCTCTGTCCCAGTGCACAGGGAGCCGCAGAGGAAGAGGCAGGTGTGCCGGGGGACACGCCTGCGTGTGCTCATCTGTGTGCAGTCCCACTGCCAGCACAACAGGTATGGCAGGGCAAAGCCAGGGACCCTGGGCCAGGGAGAGGGGAAGGAGTCCAGCAGCCCTGGGAAAGGAGGGGTGTGTTCTCCCCGGCACCACCCTCCCTCTTCTGCAGAAATTTGGAGACTTCGTCCCAGCTGGAGAGCAGGGGTGACCTTTTCACCATCTCTGTCACCGGAGTCCTTTACCTGCAGGTTAGTAGTGCCAGCACCACTGGGGACAGTACTGGGCAGGAAGGTGCCTTCCGTAGCCCCAGTTCAGGGCTGGGCATCAGGTCTGCTTCTCCAAGCCCCAAGGACACTTGGGCGAGGTCTGCTGGTGCACAGACCGTGGCTGGGCTGCCCTAAAGCTCGTGCTGTTCTTTTCCCAGAAGGGTGGGGGCAGCTCCTCCACCTCTCAGGTGCTGTGCACAGGGGAGAGCTCTTTCCTTGGCTCTGCCAGGCTGTGCCTGGTACCCAAGGGAGGTATCCCAGCCCTGCTAAGCCCTCTCCCCCCAGGCCGGGCAGTATGCCTCTGTTTTTGTGGAGAACTCTGCAGGCTCTCCCCTCACTGTTCGAAGCGGCTCCGATTTCAGCGCCGTTCTGCTGGGGGTATGAAGAGGCACCAGGCAGGGCACTGAACCTGTGCCAGAAGCAGCCAGACCCTTCCCTCTGCCAGCCACCATCGCATCTCCCCTGCTCAGCACCAAGCCCAGGGAAGATCATTTGCTCTTGCAGGAACTGTGGTCTGGTCCAATACTGATCATGCTACAGAACCAGCTGAAGATGAACAAAAGATCATGGAGAAGATGATGATGATAATAAAACAGCTTGACAAGGACCTAAAGGCATTCACTTTTAACTAAAGGCTAGGCCTGGAAACTGATCTTGGGAAATGCTGCTGACAGTGGCAGCAGATGGTTGCTTTCTCCTCAGGGCTCGGCTCCCATGCCTGGGACAAAGCCCTCCACCTCCATTTTTGCCCTCAGTGGACTTCCCTCCCCTGCCCAATGTCTTAGCAGCCCAAACCAGATTATGGATCACTTTAGCTGCCCTGCAGTGTATGAGCAGTGAATGTTTGCTGGCAGAAGCAAACATCCTTCGCACTAATCGTTAAAGCAATGTCCCAGTAACGCGGCACATCCAATTAAAGCAAATTCTTGTGCCGTGGCTTTCCAGGCCAGGCGTTCCCTGCCCGTGGCACGGGGCCCAGGCTGTGGGCAGCACAGATACGCTCTTTGCTCCAGCCCCGATAGCTGCCTGAGCTGAAGATGGGCACAGGGCTACGTGACTGAGCAAGGGCTGCACGAGAAGGACCCGGGCGCTTGATTTCTTAGTAGCACTTAGTACTGAGCAAGTTGTGCCAGCAACACCTCAAGAGAGCCTGAGCTGCACCCAGCCCCACCTTCCCCCAGGGATCCATGAACACAGGCAGGAGGAGGCATCTTAGTGCTGAACTGTGCTCAGCAGGGCTTTCCTGGCCCTGCCTGCCCTTCTCCACAGGCTGCAGTCTCCTTGAGGAGCCTCGTGAAGCAGCTGTTGCAGCAATTTGTGGGTAAGGGTGTTTGGATCCAGGGAGGACAGGGGCAAAGCTCTGGTTGTACAGTCTGAATGCTGACTTCTCCCTCAGGGCAAAGACAACTTCTATCTGAAAGCAAAGCTGTGCTTCTCCCTCAGCTGATCCGGTGGGCAGCAGCCTCCTGCCAGGGATGAGGTCCCCGCAGCTCCTGCCCAGAGAGGAGGTTGGCACTGGCAGCACCTCCCAGTCCCCACGCATGATAAGCCGAGGCAGCCTCACTCTGATCAGCTGCCTCTCTTCCTACTACACACACATGAGGAGGTACAAAAGGACTTGCTGTCCGAGAGCGGGGCTTGCCCGGCTGTAAGCTGTCCTGTGCCCGTGAGGTATCAAGAGTCCAGTGCATTCAAACACAAAACTGAAAGAGCTGATTAAGCTGGAGGTAACTAGAGGGGTAATTTAAGTGGTGGGAGGGGACAGAAGCTCAGTCAGCTCCAAGGGAGAAGAACTGTATGCAGACCACTTGTGCATGGGCCACCCTGAGGGGTGATCTTGGGAGCTCTTCTCAGTAGCAGAATGCTGCTTGAGCACTTGAGGCAAGGAGAGTGCATTTTCAGGAAACCTCCTGCAGACTCCACCCTACCAGGAAATTCAGGCCAGTAATTTTTTTACTTCCACTAAAGCTGGGGCTGAACCTGCCTTTCTAACTGTCTGGCTATTCCCAGCCATGATGAGACCTGGTCCACAGCACTTTCTTTTCCCCCTTGCCCTGAAAAATGGACATTTTACAGAAATTATTATTAACCATAACAACCATTGTTGTGCCATAATGCTGCATGTTCTGATCCTAACTGGAGCTGTGCTTTCCAAATTCTTCCTAAAGGGAGGGAAAGAAGCGTTGTAGGAGGAGGGAGGGGAAGAGAAGACAGTCAGAGAACAAGCTGACATTGCTCTCACCAGCTCACGCTGGAATGCAGAGGGGCCTCCTGGAGGGAGCCACAGAGCTGGGAGCATGGCTCAGCTCTCACAGCATGGCCAGAGCCCTCCTCAGTGCAAGAGGTGGAAAAAGGGAGAGGTAAGAAAGGAAGGCAAGTTGCTCTTCCGAGACGTGCCATAAGGGTTTCTTTTGCTACGCAGTCTGAAGCAGTTCTGTGGTACTCTGTCTGGGCTCTCCAAATTTGGCTTTCGTGAGGAGAAGCAGCAGAGTGTGTTGCTAACAAAGAGATTCCCTCTCAGCTCATCCTGCAGTGCAACCATATATCAAAGTACACAGGAATGGCTGGGAGAAGAACAAGCTGGCATCTGTGCCAGATGCCCAGTTCCTTCCTCAGTCCTCTTCAGGAGATGTGGAGAGCTGGTGTGAGCCAGGCTGTGTCAGCCTAACCCTCAGCCTAAGCCTAAGAAGTGTAACTGACTAATGCTGGAGCAGAAATCCAGGAAAGATGGTCAACCCACCTGTCCAAACAAGAGGACAGCTGTTGTGTGCTCCACTAAACAGATAGCCCAGGATCTGGGACCATCTCCCAAAGTTCTGGGAATACAGATAACGGAAATGAGCCTTGGAAGCCTCACAGCCCTGTCCAGGCTATGCACAAAATGTCAGATACCACTGCACCAACCTGCCCACCTCCCTGGGACTGCAACTGCCTCATCAGAGCAAGGAAGCTGTGCAAGCAACCCCCGTGCTGACCCCTTGGCTCACCTCCCTCACTGCCCCGGTTCACCCACAGCATGGGAAAGCTACATAATCAGAAATTTAAGTGCTCTGGTCCAATCCACTTAGCTTTCATTCTGTTGTTTGGTCTTAAGCCAAATTTTCTTTGGAAAACAGCCCACTGACTGTCTGCAGCAACAGCTGGTAGAGGCACTGGGACAGGATGAGATACCGGACAACAAGCACTTAAAACCTGAGATGCAGGCTCTGTGCTTGTCTGTGCTATTTGAGGAGCAGGCCTGTAGCTCAGCTGCCTGGCAGGTCTATTTGCTGAAAACACTTTTCCCAAAAAATATCAGGAGCAAACTCCAGCCACTTTTTCCATACCAGCACTGGGGTAAAACTCCAGCACATTCTGCAAGCAGAGGGCAGGTGCTTGCTGCTCTGCAAGCGGTGTTTGTGTCCCTCAGCTGCAGGCAACCTCACAGCACAGCCTCAGAGTCAAAAGATTTCCTTCCCAGCACAAAAGATTTCCTTCCCAGCCCACACCTCACCCTAAACCTGTGGTTACAGTACCACACAGTCTGTATGGTACAGCCTGTCCAGGAGCTCCCATGGAGCCCTAAGAATTCAGGATTCTCCCAGAGCCTTGCACAAAGCTCAAAGAAATGGACAGCAGAACTGTCCTGTTTCAAACAGCTGGCAGAGCTCATGCCTCCAGATGCCTCTTGCTAGCACCCCTGCCAAACGGGTTTACTGCATTTGCCAAGACATTCACTGAGGGCTGACAGGAGATGTCTGCTCAGGCTGATCCACACTGGCAGCCACTTGGCAAACCTTGCTAGCTAAGTGAGCTAAGACTATTAGAAAAAAAAAACAACTTTATTTACACTGAAGCGCAGGACCCTCCCTCCCTCAGCCACATAAGCACACAGACAGACCTCTCCCTTTCCTTACATGCGCCACACCTCATCCCTCAGTGCTCTATCCGCACCACCATGACCGTGACGTTGTCGGCCGAGCCTCGCTGCACTGCCTTGTTGGCCAGTCTGTTACACGCAGCTTCATATCGAGCGTCTGCTTCCAGCTTCCCTTCTCTCATCTGGATGTTCTTATCCTGTTGGGGCAAGGAAACACGACACCGATTGCCCCCAGCAAAGGTAGGTACAAGCAAATCGTATTTTCCAAGCGTGGCAAAGCGAAACAAACACAGACAACATGGGGAAGTCTATTTGATGCCCCCTGCACTTACAAACCCAGCCCCCGCACTGCGTTCTTCTCACCTCCAGGCAGGACACAATGAAGTTCACAGCTTCTTCTGGTGTAAAGACTTTAAAGAGGCCGTCACACGCTATCAGAATGAACCTGGAAATCAAGTGGAGACAGGTTCCAAGGCTGAATCTTGGGCTCCCCAGCTACAGCAAAATCCCTCCAATTTATTTTATGAACATCCACTCTCCAGTGCAAAGGAAAGATGCCATAAAACTTATGTGAAAATCCTTCAGAACCTACTATTCATGGAGCTGAGGCAATTAAAAATACAGGGCAGAGTCAGGCAACTAATGCATGACCTAGATCAGGACACCCTGGCAGTCCTACTGACACCAGCAGGATCACATACAACACCCTGCTGGAAAGCTCCATTGTTTCTCTAAGAACTGATTCTTTCCTTTGAGTCCTTTTCATTCACATATATTCCCTGTGAAGCAGCTAATGCAAGGAAATAGAGAAACACAGCTTAATCCTTCATGTGCATTGCTTTAAAGCCTTTACATTTCTACACTTCTGAGGTATGTGCTAATTTAAATACATAAATTGAAAAGAAAAGCAAGCAGCAGAACTGTGATGGGAAAACTGACACAAAGTATTGCCACAGGCTGCAAAAGGTTGAAGGAATACAAAGCCCAAGGCAAGGACAGCAATCCTAGCAGGGATCCTAGGATGGGGGAGACAGCTCACTGTGCACTACTCCCTGCCTGCACATGGAACAGTATTAACCAGGAGCTCTAACCAGAATCACCAGACAAGGAAAACTACAACCAACCCACAGAGGTGGTCAGCCTGCACACGGCTCTGAAGACATCATTTCAGAGCCTGATACTCAAGAGTATCTTTAGAAATATTTTAGTGGACCCCTTGATATGGAACTCCAGTCCCAGAAAAAGCAGCAGTACTGGGTTACAGTCTCACCTCTGAGAGCCTGCAGGGCCATAGTGATATGAAAGCTCATTGCAATTTGTCACTGCCAATCATAGTATAGAAAAGTATCTCAAATCTTCAGGTATCAGAGCTGAATGTGATGGTATTTATGGGCACTACAGCTACTAGAAACAACTCCTGAACAGGATGGACTTCTGAGAACTCAAGCCTTAACCAACTGCTTGAACACTGGTGTGTGAATTTAGAGCACAAGTAACATCTAAGGCTCATGTATGCCAGTGACTGCTATGAGGCTGGTTCCTCCAACAGGAGCCTTCACAGTATCTTGGCAGAGCTGCAGCATTATCCCACTGCACTGATAAGGAACAGGAGCAGAGAGACATCAGCAGTAAGAGCATCCTCTAATTCTGGGGATCAGT